TTTATTTATTTTTGGGACAGAGAGAGACAGAGCATGAACGGGGGAGGGGCAGAGAGAGAGGGAGACACAGAATCGGAAACAGGCTCCAGGCTCCGAGCCATCAGCCCAGAGCCCGACGCGGGGCTCGAACTCACGGACCGCGAGATCGTGACCTGGCTGAAGTCGGACGCTTAACCGACTGCGCCACCCAGGCGCCCCTAAAAGCATTTTTAAAAAATGTTACATGAAACCAAACATTAATGGCTGCTAAGATGAAACACTAGAAAAATGTCTTCTGGCTTGCAAGACAGAAATAGGGGGCCTGACTGTAGTATCAGGGTGATGCTGGCCTCAGAATGAATTAGGAAGTGTTTCCTCCTGTTCAATTTTTGGGAAAATGTTTGAGAAGGATGGTATTAGCTATTCTTTATTATGTTGGGCAGGAGAAAACAGGATTTTTCATTGTATCCAATTCAGCGTAATAACAACTGCATCAGTACTTTAGTCATAAAGCTTTACTGACACGGTAACAATACTGAAAGTTTTCTAAAACCAAGACTGTGTTGGCTAAAATGTCAGTGTTTTCGCTTATAATTTCAGTGTTAACTATGATTTTGGGGCAAGGTTCTTTATCTTAAAAGACATTACGTAGCCTTAAAGTAATGGAGCAAGGCGGTTATTATCAAAGCTGCTGATACCACAAAAGGAGAGATAACTAGACCTGTGTCCCCCTGGATGGACTAGCCACCACCACCACCGATGAAACGCTCTAACAAAACAGGCAAAGAAACAAAACAATAATACCGAATCTGATCAAGGCCGAGAATACAGGAGAAAGGGGAATGCAGTAAAGGGCACCACGGGATTGCATTCAGCAAAATTGAGCCTGGGGACACCCTCCAGGACAATAATCTGGTTCTTCCAGGTAAATTACAAGGAAAAAGATATGAAGAGACTCGTAGGTACAAACACTCATCATGAGGCTTGGTGACCAATTAGTGTATGCAGCTGGTCTGGATCCAGATTCAAACTATACTGTAAAATTTTTAATAAGACAATCACAACTTTGATGATTGAGGAAGGATGATTGATGACATTGAGGAATTACTGTCAATTTTTAAAGATATGATAATTGGTATTGTGGTTGTGTAAAAATGAAAGGTATTCTATTTAAAGATAAAATTTTTAGGGGCGCCTGGGTGGCTCAGTCGGCTGAGCGTCCGGCTTCGGCTCAGGTCATGATCTCGCGGTTCGTGAGTTCGACCCCACGTCGGGCTCTGTACTGGCAGCTCGGAGCCTAGAGCCTGCTTCGGATTCTGTGTCTCCCTCTCTCTCTGCCCCCCACCCTCCCCGCTCATGCTCACTCGCGCGCGCGTGCTCTCTGTCAAAAATAAACATTAAAAAAATTAGAAAATAAATAAAATGTATTATATTTAAGGCATTTATACGTGAAATGACACGAAGTCTGGGATTAACACTGAAATGACGGAGTGGCTGGGGGCAAGGTGAAAAAGACTGGTAAATGACCTGGTAATTGTGAAAGCTGGGGGTGAGAGGATCAGGTCATTAGATATCTGGCTCTTTCCACTTTTGTATATGTTTGAATTTTTCCCTAAGAAAAAGCTGAACATCAAAAACAGGAGAAGGCAATACAGACAGGTCACACCAGGACAGCATACCTTGGTATTCCTGGATCCTGAGTTTTGTGACATGCACTTGTAAGGTTTCTTTCCCCCGGTAAAAGGAATTGTATGCTTTTCAAAATGCCTTAAAGTCATTTCCAAACGCTGTGAATATTGCTTTAAAATGTACGAGGGCCTTTAATAAAACAGCATTTGATATCTTTGTCCTTCCAAGCGATTTCTTTTCCACGACAACAGAATGGAAAAGCTCCATTTCCAAAAGCTGTGTGTCATTCTTCTGAAAATAATTTTTGAGTTAGGTGTTCGGAGTAACTTGGAATGATAAAGGTGCAAACGATTACCATACAGTATGCTTCTCTGAGAGGAGCCAGACACAGACATTTTTGAATGAAATTGCAAAACCTTGCACTTCCTGGATCAGAACACGCCACTGCAGCTTATGAGGAAGTAGGCATGTTTCAAAACACCCGAAGGCTCGCACACTGAAACACGGGGCACGTTTGTTAAGAGTGCCCATCCCATGTAATCCAGAGACTGCGCCCAGGCACCATTCACAGCTGAACAGAGGCCGCCAGGGGTGCTGACGGCTGGGGCAGGGCTGTGGCTGGGGCAGGGCTGCTTCACACACCCCGTGAGAAGCAGGGAGATGCCTCAGCGTGCACTACTGAAAGGACCACACAATAACTGGAAGATAAAAATCACAGTAGCCCAGAATCACTGCACCCAAGTGCCCGTGGACCACCCACAGTGCCCGGGGTCGTTTCCAGGTGGAAGCCGGCAGCCCCCAGGAGTCCAGCCCACACTCTGGCCCTCACCTCCCCGGCTCCTTCCCACTGCAACCATGCAGCCTCACGGAGGTCCGGACGCCACCTGCCCCCTCCTTTCCCACCTTCCGGTACCGTCTGTCCGTGGCCATGCCTGGATTCCATGGTCTGGAACACCACAGCCCCACCCCTGCAAACACCTGGAACTCTCTGCTCCTCCTCCAGCCCCACCACCTGGTAACCCTCCAACACTTAATTACTTCTTGCCTGAGCTGCGCAGCGGCATGTTGCTGGACAAACGACCGTACCTCCTGGCTTTGTCTGAGATCATGACCCCAAACTGTAAACAGGCATCAGCGTACTGCGACTACCTTTCTGGAGCGCAGGCACCTTCTCACTCCTCAAAATGCCTGTGTCACAGAGTCTCTTTCTTGAGACTTGCTCGCTCTGCCCCCATCGGCTAATGATCTCACTTCCCTGGCCGACAGAGTGGATGTCCTCAGTTGGGCACTCCCTGCGTGTCCCTTTTCCTGGCCCCGCCACCGAATCTGCCAGGTGTGCTCTTCTGGCCTTCCAGGCCACTGTCCTTTTCTCTATCCTGCCCCTCCTTTGTGATATAGTCTGTCCTGAGACAAAACTGACAACACGCACCCCTTTCTCGATTCTCTGCCATCCTGGAATCATGGCCTCGTTCTCTGAGCGTACCAAGTACGTGCCCTCCTCTGCTCCTGTGTCTGGGAATCTCTCCCCTTGAACCCTGCATGATGGGCTCCTCGCCATTCAGGTCTCAGCTTCGACGTTGCCTCCTTGGGGGTGCGGATACGGTCATGTGCTGCCCAGATCCCACTCAGGACCCAGAGACTGGTACTGGGCTGCAGGGGGTGCTGCCCTCGGTCATCCAGGCTCTTCAGGAAATCGCCCTGGCTAAAGCCCTCGCGCCCTAGATGTTCTCGCAGTCCTGCTTCTCCCCTGCCCGATGCCGCGCCCTCTCTCACAGGGGCGCACCCTCGGGATCCCTCATAAGTGCCTGCACGCAAACCTGGGACATCCATCTGAGCTGTCACCCCTTCCCCTCTATCCCTTCACCTTGCTGTGATTGTCTGCATGGCCTCCATCACCGCCCACTTCCTCTCAGTAGAATGTAGTTTCCAGCAGAGCCAGGAATTGGTGTCGCTCATCTCTGTACCTCGAGAGCCCACACCAGGGACCAGGGCTCGGCAGACACAGCTGCCCAAGGAATGAGGGGGCTCTGGGCACCCATGGCCCCTCCGGCCTTTCTTATAGGGTTGTTTAGGATTCTAGAGAACGTACATGAAGCAGTGTTTCCCCAGCACATGGTGCACACTAAACACCTTCTGAAGGCACTGAGATATAGTTACCATTCTTAACCTGAAGTCTCCCTTCAGGGAACAGTATGAAAATTGAAGGAAATGCAGAAAAAGGTGAAGTGACTGGCAGACTGGAGCCAGGACCAAAGGTGAGGAGAGAGTAAAACCTGATACCATCTGATAAACTGCATTTACAGATAAAATACAAACAGAAGAGGGACCGAATTTAGGAAGCTGAGCAGCAGTGTGACAGAGAAGGGAACCCAGAAGAGACGGACACACGGCCTGCTCCCAGCCCGCCCCACGGTCGCAACCTTCGTCCCTGTGGGAACGACAGCCCACACCCCCCACCGCCATTCAGGAGTTGGGTCACAGTGGGTCACGATGAAGTTCCACTCACAGGAGAGGTGCTTTCTGGTTTGGACACCGGTGCTTTAAAGGTAGAAATACTTTTGGAAATGTCTGCTCTCTTATCTGCAGCCGCTTCCAGGGACAGACATTGCAAGTAATCTGGCGGGGGGATGACCACGCTGCTTTTCTCGGATAAGTTCACGGTGCTGATGCTTCTCACTGGCGCTGGGCTAACAACCAACAGGCAGAGAATGTGCATTACATAAGATCCCACCATCTGAACCCCGAACATCCTGAACATCCTATGGCCAGAACTGCAACAGATTAACAACCACACAGGGTGTGGGGAGGAGAGGACACATAATAGACCTCTATGTAAAAAGTACCGTCATGTTTTCACTGGTTTATAAATGTGCACTCAAAAGAAAACTAGCTTAATTCAGGGCTGGCTCTTGATTAATTTAAGGAGATCAGTAAGAAAAGGAAGACTAAAAAGTGTTGAGCACTTCAGATTAAAACAAAACAAAAAGAACCTCAGCATTTTGACATTGTAAACACGATACCTAGTTTCATTCCTTGGCCCAGGGGTGTTGAGCTACACGGCCAGGGATGAGGATACAGAGACGACACTGACCAGGACTTGGGGGCATCAACTGTGGTGCTCAAAGGTGCGCCGGGACAGCTAGATGGGATGCAGGGCTTCCCTGAGGCGGGAACCACTGAGGATGTGCCAGTTTAGGGTAAAGATGCAGGTAGTCTGGAGGGGTCACTTCTGAGGACCCCACGGGGCAGCCGACTACAACTGTGCAACACACACGCAAGTTTCACAGCCAGGTGTGGGAAAGACCTTCCTGGGTTTTAGCCTTGGCTCCACCTTTCTGTGCCTCGGTTTCCTCAATTTTAAAGCGGCGACCTACCTCATAAGGCTGTTCTGAGAATTAAATGAGCTAGTCAGTGTAAGGCATGTTGGCGCTTCCTAAGTGGCAATGACCATGACGGTCGCCTTGGATTTAGTAACCAGTTGGGGAGGGGGGCGGTGTGGTGGGTGGTTCCAGAGGGCTGACGGGGTGAGGAGCAGAGTCTGGGGGCATGCCCTCACAGCAGAAGCCACAAGGGAAACAGCCGCGGGTAACAATCCCCCTTTCGTACTCTCCTACACCATCGGAGGTTTCCCTGTGGGGCTGGCTCCATATGCAGACGGAATTCTGATATGGCTGAGAACATGTGGTCAAAGGTGAGTTTGTGGTCACTGGGAAATGGGAGCCACAGTCAGGTCCTACCTTGGTGTGGGCACACTCATGGCCTCCTTTGCATCTTCTTCCAGCAACTTCGTGTAAGATGCCGGGAACCAACCCCTCCTACAGGTGAGTGTGAGAAAAAAACCTCATCGTGGGGTCAGCAGTAGACAAGTGGACAATAAACACACGACGGGGGGACTTGGGGCAGCTCCAGAGCAGACCAATTCCTTTTCACCATGTCACATGATGTGTATTTTATACACAGCATTTATTTTTTTTTTTTATATTTTTTTTTTTTCAACATTTATTTATTTTTGGGACAGAGAGAGACAGAGCATGAATGGGGGAGGGGCAGACAGAGAGGGAGACACAGAATCGGAAACAGGCTCCAGGCTCTGAGCCATCAGCCCAAGACCTTCACAAGGCATGGGCTTCAGAATCCTGGACCACGAGATCCGATTTCCAGCTGGAGGTCGGACGCTGAACTCGAACGGCGCGCCACCCAGGCGCCCCTACACAGCATTTATTTTATTTGGATTCTCTTTTTGGCTTTTTTTCCACATTTATTTAATAGGTAAATAATCTACACAGAAACCAACTTAACCACCTTACAGTAAAGCCTATGCACCTACTTGTTGAAATGAGGACACTAGCCTTTAAACTATTTGTGGGCTAAATCTTAACAAAATCTATCTAATGTGCATATTATCCTTGAGAAATCCAAAGTCACATTAAAAAAAAGGAAGAGAAAGAGTATTTAAAGTACTTTCTGAGGTGACTTCATATGATCTATTCAAGAATCAAACTCATCTGCAGATGCACAGACATACAGAAAATGGCCCGGAACAGAGTATAACTCCGATGAACTAAACTAGAACCGTAACTAAACTAGGAACTTAACTTTGGTAAAAATACTACAGTGACCACAAGGACTCTGCTGCTCAACGGAGATATAGCAGTTCCCTGAAGCAGCGGGCAGTCCTGACTCCCGCGCGGGCAGCATCTACCCCAAGACTTACGCTTTCGTGGTGTCGTGCTCCCCATAAAGCCAGCCGTCTTTCTCCTCGGGGACGAGCAGCGTGAGGACATCTCCCTGGGCGAAGCTGAGCAAGCTCTGGTTCGCGCCTGCGGTGTGTGGGAAGATGGTTTTCACCTTCTGCTTCTTCATCATGTTCAGTCCGGTTGCGACAGAAACCGATCGCTGTAAACTGGGATCATCTGAAGAATCTGTTAAAACTGAGCATGGCAGCGACTGCTTTTCAAAGAGCGATAACACGGCAAGTTCACAAGAGCAAACCCCGGAAAGCCACCCACTCCTGTCTGCCAGCGATCCTTCCACTTCAGCTCCACACGCCATATCTCCGAGCCCTAGTCTTCGCCTGGACCCACGGACGGATGGGCGGGGAACAGCGAGGAGCGGAAGCAGAACTGCTGCCTGAGGCCCCTCACCAAGGACGACCCTTGAGGCTAAACGCTCTTCCCCACGTAGAGAGGACACACAGAGGCCAAGCCTCACCCGTGCTCTGAGGTAATCAGAGGCCAGCTGATGCATCACCAGAGGGTCTGATGCCTTCCTCGCCCTCCTCTCCCAACATGAATCCCAAGGCAGGGCGGGATCTAACTCAAACCCCACTGCCCACGCTCTGGGCTGCAAGGAACAAGAGGAGACTGGAAATGCAGCTGTTCTCGCCGTGCTCACTTACTGAACCCTCCCTAATCAGTGCCGTCCACGCTTTTGATGCTTCGAAGCTTCTGAGGGAAGGACTAGTTATCATCCACGGTGACTCAATGGGATCACAGCTAGCACGTGGCCTAGCTGGGCACCAGATGTGGGTGGCCTGACCCCACAGCCCAGACTTTGTACATTTCTGTCTCCCTTGGAGCGTGGGCTGATACTTCCCACTTCAAAGAAACAAAATAGCCATTCTGAAAATCTCCTCTCCCGTTTCACCCAGGACAGGTCTCTAGCCCATGGCTTGAAGGCCATGACTTTCATGAGTGAGCCTGTGAGACACCTATCACAGAGAGAGAGGGGCCTCTGGTGTCAAAAACTCTGCACAGAGCAGAGCCTAACCAAAGCTGCCTGAAATGTCTGCAAACAGTAACTGGTCCTGATTTATTGAAACAGCATCAACAGAAATTTAAGCAGTGAGAACTTAAGTGTTCAGAAAGCATGAAGTTCTCTGTTAGAGATGATGAAAAACGCTGATTATAATTCAAACCAAGCCTACTGGTAAGATTAATAACCATAATTTTGTCATGGGAACTTTAATAATTTGTTTTATTGAAGAAAGAAATTTTATTACAATTGCCACTTAATATGGCACTCAGTGTGGAGGCTCTTGTTATATTTTAAAATGTAATACCTTTATTTAAAAAAAAAATTTTTTTTAATGTTAGTTTTATAGAGAGGAGAGGCTATTTTGCAGCAACGCGGGGAGGGGACAGAACTGGGGTGAAGAGGGAGACACAGAATCCGAAGCAGGCTCCAGGCTCTGAGCTGTCAGCACAGAGCCTGATGTGGAGCTCAAACCCACAAACCGCGAGATCAAGACATGAGCCGAACATGAGTCAGATGCCCAACCGACTGAGCCACCCAGGTGCCCCTAAAATGTAACACTTTTCAATAGCACAATTACTCTATATAAACATGAATCAGTACATGGAATTAGTATGTGTTAAAGTGTCAATTATAAAATGTCTTATGGTTTTATAATAAACCCGTACCTTTATTTATTTTGAAGTGTAAGTTCCAATAAGGCAATGCTGAATTCTACTTCATGGTAACATTTATCCAAAATATTAAAAAAAATTTTAAAAAGTATTTAAAAAGGGGCACCTGGGTGGCTCAGTCAGTTGA